AGGAAGTGGTTTGGGGTGAGTGCCTCCGGATCGCTAGGATCGACGGAGACGTGTGTGAGGGGTCGCGAGTTTATGGTGTACTCGGCCTCTGTCAGCAGCGTTTGGAGCACCTCTTCCTTTGGCGCTCGTTCGTGGGGTACGGCGGCGAGTGCAGTCTTGACGGAGCGTACCAGTCGCTCCCACGCTCCCCCCATGTTCGGCGCCCCTGGTGGGATAAAGCGCCACGTCATGCGGTGTTGTTGTCCCAGTTCTTCCAAGGCCGGCTTCCATTCTTCGTAGGCGGCACGGAGTTCGACGTTGGAACCCCTGAAGTTGGTCGCGTTGTCGCTCATTATCTCTCGAGGCTATCCTCGTCGGGCTGCCATTCGGCGCAGTGCTAGTAGTGCAGAGTCAGTCGACAGGGATGCCACTAGCTCGATATGCACGGCGCGCGTCGTCATGCAGGTAAATAGGCCATCTCTTCTCGTGTCTTCTTCCGATTTTCACCATCATCGGCCCAAAATAGTCGACGCCGCAATAGGTGAATGGCCGGTGAAACGCGTCGACTCGTGCTCGTGGTAGGTCGCCGAAAATTGGTGTTTGCGGCCTCGTTTTTCTTAGCTTGCACCATTCGCATTCTCTTGCAACAGCGCGTACGGCGGCTCGTAGGATCAGAATCAAGAAGCGTTGACGCAGGTTGTTCACCACTGTTTCTCGATTGATGGGGGCCACCTTTGCTTTGGCGGCGGCGAGGGTGATGCTGATGCTGCCGTCGTCCCTGGTCATCGTCCAGTACGCGGCGGCGGCATATGCTTGTTCGCTCGCGTCGCAGAACACGCGTAGTTCGCGGCGCGCGGTCGGCCCGTACCAGCGTGGTAGGCGTAACTGGGCAACCTCCTCGCGTAGGGTCTGCAGCCACCGGGTGAAATCTTTGCTTCGGCGTCAGGCAGCTGCTCATCCCACCCCAGCTTCTGTTTCCATTGGCCTTGTAGCACGATCTTGGCTCGTATTGTGAACTGACTCAATAGTCCCAAAGGGTCATACAGAGACATGACGGCGCCCAGGGCGTCGCGTTACGTCGGCGTCCGCTGGTGCTCGATGACCTCCTTTGAGACTCGGTGCAGCGTGGTGTTGAAGGCCAGTTGGTCGCGCTCGGCGTCCCATAGCAGGCCGAGCGTCTTGTCTGGTGCTGGTGCCAGTTGAGTGGGGCTTCTCGTTCTGAGCTCCTTTTCTACATCTTCTAAGGTTGTTTCTTCGTTGGAGTTCCACCCTCGTAGCTTGAAGCCTGCTTGCGCGTGAACGAAGGCCACTTCATTGACTGTCTTCTTTGCAGTAGCGATGTCGCTGAAGGATTCCACGAGGTCGTCCATGTAGTGGTTTCGGGTGATGGAGTTGAACGCGGCGGGATGGGTGGCCGCGAAGTCTTCTGCGTTACGGTTCCTGACGCTGTGGGCCAGGAAGGGAGAGCTGGATGCGCCGAAGATCATGGCCGTCATCTTGTACTTTCGCGGTGGTTGGTCTTGCTTCGCTCTCCACAGGAACATTTGGGCCGGCTGGTCTTCTTTCCTTATTGCAATACGCAGGAACATTTCTTGTATGTCAGCGGTCACTGCAACTGGACCCTCTCTGAACCGGAACATGATCCCCTGCAGTGACTGTAGCAGGTCCGGCCCCTCCAGCAGTAGGTCGTTCAGGCAGACTTGGCGGTGGCGTCGAAAACCAGGCGTAACTTCTCCGGTTTGTTCGGGTTGAAAACCGGAAAGTGCGGCAAGTACCATTTCCGTGGGCTTTCTTCCTCGGTGCCGTCGCATGGCTGTGCGTAGCCCTTCTGTAGTAGTGCCTCGACGTCTTGCTTGTATCGTGACGCAAAGTAGGGTTCTCGTTCAAACCTCCTTTCCACGTTCTTCAGTATTCGAATAGTGGCGTTGTAGCTGGGCGGCGTGGTGACGTCTTCCTTACGCCACGGCAGTCCCACTTCGAAGCGTCTATCGACTCGCCTGGCCGTTGCGTTGAAGACTTTCATGACGCGTTGATCCATGTATTCGGTCTTTTCCTTGAGAGATACTCCTAGCGCGTCGATCTTGAAGTGCTCTTCTACCAGCCTCTCTATGCGGTCATTGTCGTTGCAGTCGGGCGTGAAGACGTGCAGGATCGATTCGGCGTCCTTTGCGTACAGTGTGCGTGGTACGGTACCATGGATTGTCCACCCGAGCCCGGTGAGAGAAGCGGCTGGTTCGTTTCTTCCGCCCATCTTGATTTGTCGTGACACGATGAGGTGCCAGTTGTCGGCGCCTATCAGCAGTTGCGGCCTTGCTGTCCCGTAGCAGACGTCGGCTTCTTTCAGCCCTCGCAGGTGTGTGTGCTTCAGGACGGTTGCCGGAATGGACTAGTGGTGGAGTACCAGTTCCCGTATGGTGCGTAGCTTCACGTGGTGCGTGGTGTCGTCACTCTTGCCCTTCACCGTGGCTTCGACGAGCTTGCTGGTTGCTTCTTGGCTGGTCGATGCTACGCCACGTATGTGCAGTGATCGCGCCGGCCCCTCGATGCCTAATTTCCGCGCCAGGTCGTCTTCTATGAGTGACACGGTTGAGCCGTCATCGAGTAGTACGTAGGTGTTGGCCTCCCCTTGTGGGCCCCCGACGATGACTGGAACCACCTTCAGCAGTACCACGCTTCTATCTTTGCCGGCGACAGTGGTGACTGATACGGTCTCGTTAGCGGTGTTGCTTGCACTCTTCCTAATTGGGTAGGAATATACCATAGAAATTTTTAGTCACTGGATTCAGATGTTTGAGTCCAAATATCGCTCTGCATAGTTTCTCCATAGATGCTGCGGATAACGATTGGTCAAGTATTATCAGTAAATACGGGTAAAGGAGTGCCTCCTTTCATCTAATAAACTTATAGATAAAAACTACTTTTTTCTTCCTCAGGTCTATTTACAAAATACAAACGAAGAGTTTTTGCCAGTTGATGTTGTAGCTTCAGTATTTCATGGTGCAGATCACAAAATAATGCTTCACATATGCCCTTAAATTATGTAATAATTTTTCTCACTCTTTGATGATGGATTGGAAAACGGGAGTAGTTTTCCAAAGTAGTCAACAGAAACTGTCCAAAATCCTTTTTTTGTATATCAAAAGCAGGCGTTCTCTAAGAAATGTTAGACTACGAATTCGCAAACATTCGAAATTGGTTCGCTGTCTTGTAACAGCAGATTTATTGTTCTCAAGTGCTTTGTGAATTGGTGAGATGTTAATGTAAGAGCAGCTATTGTAGTTATGACTTCGTTCTTCTTGTTTGCACTAATATTTATCACATAATACTTAAGTACAATTTTTGGGACTGCACTGTTTTGTACCAACTTTTGGATTAAGGTTTTAAATGAGTGTTCTGGGTGCGCAGCGCTTGTTCTCTTTAGGATATTCTACGAACACAATGAATAATATGCTTTTAAATAATTGGGTAGGAATATACCATAGAAATTTTTAGACACTGTGGATTCAGATGTTTGAGTCCAAATATCGCTCTGCATAGTTTCTCCATAGATGCTGCGGATAACGATTGGTCAAGTATTATCAGTAAATACGGGTAAAGGAGTGCCTCCTTTCATCTAATAAACTTATAGGCAAAAACTACTTTTTTCTTCCTCAGGTCTATTTACAAAATACAAACGAAGAGTTTTTGCCAGTTGATATTGTAGCTTCAGTATTTCATGGTACAGATCACAAAATAATGGTTCTCATATGCCCTTAAATTCGCTTAAATGGTTTTTAATCATTTTTTATCACTGTTTGATGATGGATTGGGAAACGGGAGCAGTTTTTCTTATAATTATGTCAACAGCAACTGTCCAAAATCTTTGTTTGTTTTACAAAACCGATGTTCTCTTGGATATGTTTGACTACGAATTCGCAAACATTCGAAGTTTTTTGGCTATCTTGAAATAGCAGATTTATTGTTTCCAAATGCATTATAAATTGGTGAGGTGTTGATGTAAGAGCGGCTATTGTAGTTATTCTTCTTTGCACTGATATTTATCACATACTCCAGAAGTACAATTTTTAGAACTGCTTGGTTTTGTACCAAATCTGGATAAAGGTTTTAAAGAGTTCTGGTATTACGATTTCACTATCTTGAAACAGCAGATTTATTGTTTCCGAGTTTATAGTATTGCTTTATGAATAGGTGAGGTGTTATTATAAGAGCGGCTTTTGTAGTTATGTCTTCGTTCTTCTTGTTTGCACTGATTTATCACATAATACTTAAGTTCCATTTTCGCGATTGCAGTGTTTTATACCTTCTTCTTGATAAAGGTTTTAAACAGTGTTAAGTGTGCAGCGCTTGTTCGCTTTGGGATATCTAACGCCAAAAACCAGACATGATATTTTGAAACAAAATTGTTCAGACGACAAATACAAAAATAGGACCTAGAAGTCACACCACTACTGGTGCTTAATATGCCATTCCTACTTGACTATTTTTTTGTTTAGTGCTTTGATTATTTTTTTGATTAACTATTTATCACATAATACTTAAGTTCCATTTTCGCGATTGCAGTGTTTTATACCTTCTTCTTGATAAAGGTTTCAAAGAGTGTTAAGTGTGCAGCGCTTGTTTGCTTTGGGATATCTAACGAAACCCACGAATGATGTACTAAGTTCAAACTTATCTAAAAACCAGACCCGATATTTTGAAACAAAATTGTTCAGACGACAAATATAAAAATACGACCTGGAAGTCACGCCACTACTGGTGCTTAATATGCCATTCCTACTTGACTATTTTTTTGATTATCTATATTTTATAATAAAAATATTGTAAAACACTAAAAACATTTTTGATTATATAATATCGCTGATGTACCGCTCTCACAAAATAAAAATCCTCTTATCATATCGAGACTATTTAAGGGCGTAAAAGGAATACACGAACGGCGCAGAGTAAGTGCTACTAAATTAATGTTTGTGTTCACACAAGCAGCTGCAGCTAACTATTTTTTGATCAACGAGTGTTTGCAAGAAAATAATATGAGAGCCTTTATCCCTGCATCCTCTGTGGTAAGAGTGGGGATCATCCGATTTATCCCTAAGGAAACAAGTTGTTTAGGATTGTACCAAAAACTGTCATCTTATAGTGAAATAATTTCTGTACGGAGATTTATGAAAAAAATAGATAATGAGTTAGTACCATTAACTACTATTTCTGTTACATTTGTAGGAACAAGACTGCCGCAGCATATTTACTTAGACAAAGTCTGTAGAAATGTTCAGGTATGCTCCATGTGTGCTTAGGATCATTGCTACAAGGACTGCACATCAGAGGTACTGAAGTGCAGTAATTGTGGCGGTGACCACTTTGCAATATACTATGTCGGTCCTATTAAATTAAAAAATACAAGCTCTTTTCCATTTTTACCAAAAAATAATTTGAATTACAAAGTTAAAAGAGGAGAACAACAATGACACCCAAAGAATTGATAAATGATGAGAAAAATTTAAACTCCATTGTAAAAACCTTGGTATGCCTTAGTCATTCAAATTCAGTAAAATCTGTAGCACACATTAAAGAAACATTTCTAAAAATACTCACTCAATTCTTAATGGTTTTTTTGCGAATTTTACAACATAATATACAAAGTATTCATAACAAAAAGCCACTACTTAATGAATTGTTATACAATGATAATATTGATGTGTGCTTGTTAAATGAAACATGGTTAAAAAGTCTTCCCCAAAAGCTAATTTTCCAGGATTCGCTTTAAAATAAAAATGCTGAAAATGAACATGGTGGTGTAGGTATTTTATTGAAAAACTCCATGAAATTTAATGAATTAGCATTTCCTTTCTATGAAAACATCCAGTGCATTGCAATTTCTCTTCAAACTGATAGAGGTCCTCTCTCCTTTTTATGTGGGTACTGTTCTCCTGGAAATGAAAATAGAACGAGATTTAGAAAACTTGAAAATATTATTAGAAACCTTCCAAAGCCCTGTTTAATTTCGGGTGACATTAATGCCCACCATATTAAATTTGATTGTCTGAGTACAAACTCCAGAGGCAGACAACTGTTTGAAATATTTGATGACAATGATTTATATGTATTTAAAACACTGGTGAGCACACAATTGTTCTAGCGCCCACTAGAAATAGCTCTGCTATTGATGTGAGTTCTATAAGCCCAGGTCTTGCTCCATTATGTGAGTGGCGAGTGGGCAGTTACCCACTTGGTAGTTTGCATTATCCTACATTCATTGATATTAAAATATATCCATCATTGTATCAAATGAATGAAAATATTGAAAAGTAACTTAACAAGAAAGCTGATTGGTAAAAATATAGTAAATGTAAAGAATACTTTAAAGATTTAGCTGTAAATACTGACAATCCCATTATGACGTATGACAACTTTTGTTTAATTTTAGACATGCTTAGAAATGAATGCATACCTTTAAATAAAAGGTCCTTTCTTATTTTTGAAGTTATACTTCTTTAGGCGCGTTATGAAAAAATGATGAGACTGAAATTTTAAGATGCGCGCGCATCACTGTAACACAAAATTTTCGTCGCTTTAGCGACCAACTTCATGCTGTTACTTTTGTGTTTACCGCACATTAAGAAAATCTACCAACAAAATAGAAATAGAATCTCTATTTAGTGGGTGCTAACGACTGCATTGTGAAGGCCTATCAAAAGTATTTATTAATCTGGAACAACGGAACCAAAGCGCGATTCAGGAGGCTACAGCGCCATCTCTTGACCATTGGTGTAGTAGAACCAAAAACCACATCTTTATTTTTTGTAATAAAGTAACAGTTATAGGTATCATATTTATAATATTTATCCACATGTTTCTAGTTTGTATATTCGGAATACGTGTTTGAGTTTCATACAAGTGCAAATCACATATGTTCTAATAAATTATATTCAGTAGCGATTTTAATTGAATATTTTGATTATTTATTTATTTTTTCAAATTAAAGCTGAACTTTATTGACTGTGTCCTTTTCCAGACTTTTTATTAATTTATTGTAATTAATTATTTGCATGCAATTAAAAACTAATTTAAACGATGCCAAAGAAGGATAACTTCTCACGCGCCTACATAAGTACACGCACCCATTTTTTAATTTATATCAATGACTTGCCCTATTTTGTAAAGGATAACCACGAAATAGTATTGTTTGCGGATGACACTTCACTTTTGTTTAAAATTAAACGTAGGGAGTCACAAATTGATGACGTGAACAGGTCTTTGGCTAATGGATCTCTATTGACTTATATTGTTGCCACTTTACCTAAGTTAGGGTCTGGTGCGAATGTCAAATAAAAGCTGCTATGTAAATCACTGACTGTTTATTCACTTCACAATGTTCATCTAAATTACTCTGACTCCAAACTATACTGTCTATTTTCTAACTGTTATGCGTACTATTACAATGACTTGAGAATGAACCTGACGGGATCGGTGGTAATGTGCGACTGGCTCGCGTCACCGCGGACCGCGCGTCGACGCTTATATCAAGTCAGCATTCTTGGAATCCAGTCGCCACATCACACCCTCCCTTTTTTCAAAAAAATGTAAAATTTTTAAACACGTTCATAAAAAATATATCTACTGAACCTTCATAATTATACAACTCTAACTTGTCATTTAGATGTACTGCAAAACAAAGTATTACAACAGAGCTCGCTAATAATGCAACGTTTCAACTTTCGATACAATGTTTACGATAACAATACCTACGATACGGACTTCATAACATGACGCATACCAACGCTTAAGGCCAATACATGTAATTCTATTTTTAGAACGGATTTATATTAAGGCGAAGCTCTATACGTTACTACACAAATTAATTCTATTAAACTTTTTACAAAAACAATCTTGCGTTTTTTATTTCTCTTTCCTTACTATTGTACTATTTAAAACAATATTTTTGACAAAATCTCTAAATTTCCTTTCATACTCACATTTCACAATACACATTCTATATAACTTTAATACATAGATTTAATACAATTTTGCGAACATCTGCTTTCAGGTTCGTCTTTAAAATGTTTCAGGAGAAACACAAACAAATAACATGTCCTAGGTAGTCACTAAAAGGGCTATGCTCTGCAATACATAATAACAGCTTTAGGCTCGACAGCACTCCTTTTAGTGACGCCACGCACGAATTTACACAGCATTACAAAAACATTAACATTAACAACATCACTTGCGTGGAAATACACAATTTTACACAACATATTTCATTTTATACTCAGCGATTAATATATATAAAAAAAATTACTTTATTTTCACTTCCTAAGCTACACTTGAGTGATTTCTTAAATGTTTAAATTGACACAACTAAAACTTATAATGCATTTTACATGTTTCATTTCAGCAAAAATCGTACTGGTTGCTTAACACTTCTACCACTGCGTGTGACCTTAATTGCAGGTTTCAGTGTACTTTGCTCATCACATTTTACGTCAGTATTTTCTTTATGCTTATTACATACAATTTTATTACTGTTACTTTCCTTACATATATTTTTGCTGCTTGTCGTACATTCTTTAGTAATATATGAGTTATTATCTAACAAAATTTTATCCTTCAATACATAAGCTGGTTTCAATCTGTCAATAGAAATGTTAGACTGGCGTTCTGCTATCCTTATTACGAATGATTTGGGTGATCTACTAATGACTTGCTATGGACCGCTGTATGTGGGTGTTAACGGCTTCGATACCATATCATTCCTGACAAAAACATGACTACAATTTTCCAAATCCTTATGTACAAAATTTTTTCTGTTATCCCTATTCTCTCTAGGCTGTGGACGTAAACTATTTAATACCTGTCTTATTTTACTTACATAACTTGGTTCGTCCTTCACTTTTAAACTTAAACTATTTTCGTAAAAATCTCCTGGTAAACGTAATGTGTGTCCTAATGTCATCTCTGCTGCACTCACGTTGTTATCGCTTTTACAGGCTGCGCGAAGTCCCAACATTACCGTTGGTAATTCGTCTACCCACGATGTACTATTATCTAATAAACGTGTCTTTAATGCTACCTTTAGTGATCTGTGGAACCTTTCTATCATCCCATTGCTTTGCGGATGATAACTTGTAGTACGAATTTTTTTAATACCTAACATTTTCATAAGTGCTGAATACAGCTCACTTTCGAATTGTCTACCTTGATCACTAGTAATTTCCTTCGGACAACCAAATCTGCATATCCAATTTTCGTAAATAGCTTTACTTACTACCTCTGCGGTGATCTCGTTTACTGGAATGGCTTCTGGCCAACGCGTAAATCTATCTATCATAGTGACTAAATATCTATATCCCTCGCTTGAAGTAGGTAAAGGACCAACTATGTCTACGTGAACGTGCTCGAAACGCTCACTGGGTGGAAATGTCCCTAGTTTAGATACTGTATGACGTTGAACTTTGACTTTTTGACACGATATGCATTTCTTACTCCAATTATTAACGTCTCTATTCATGTTAGGCCAAAAATATTTCTGAGTAATCATTTTCCTAGTACTTCTAATTCCTGGGTGGCTAACATTATGTACCCTATCAAAAACTAACTTCCTGAATTGCTCTGGTATGTATGGTCTTACACAATCTTTGTTTATGTTACAGTACACAGAACTACTACACAAAGGTGACTGTAATCTTTGTAACTTTTGCTTAGTCTTACTTTCAGCTAACAGGTCACGAAGTTGCTGATCGTGTTCCTGTGCCCTGGCGATTTCGTCGAAATCAATGTTCGTAGGACAAACAATGGACTCTACTGTGCGCGATAGCGCGTCAGCTACCACGTTATCGTTTCCGCTTACATACTGTATGTCGCTCGTAAACTCGCTAATGTACAGTAATTGTCGCGTCCGTCTTGGTGTTTCTTTATCTGAACCTATTTTACTAAACGCGTATGTCAACGGCTTATGATCTGTAAATATTGTTAAATTCCTACCTTCTATTATATTCCTAAAATGTGTTATTCCTAAATAAATTGCTAAAAGTTCTCTATCGTACGTACTATATTTCTTCTGAGTATTGGTAAGTCCCTTTGAAAAGTAACCTAATGGCTTCCAGTCGTTAGCAACCTTTTGTTGTAATACAGCGCCTACCCCTGTATTCGAAGCGTCACACATTAAGGCTAACTTACTCTGCGGTTCCGGATATGATAACATACTTGCGTTACTTAAACTTTTTTTACATCGTTCAAATGCCTTTAACGATTCCGCATTCCATTCTATCTTTGTTTTATCCCTTTTCTTAGCTTTATGTAAATATTTATTCAATAGACTTTGACTATCTGCTGCATGATCTAAGTGACTTCTATAAAAGTTTATCATTCCTAGGAATCTACGTAGCTGTTCTATATTCTCTGGTTTTGGGAATTCTTGAATGGCCTTAATTTTTTCCTCCATCGGTCTTATACCATCTTTACTGACCTCATATCCTAAAAATTCTACCATTGCCTTACCAAAACTACATTTTTTTAAATTAATCGTTATAC